GGGATCTATTTATGGACCAATATTGAACGTATATTTTCGTCGTATAATTGTTATGTAACTAAACTGTTTCATATTCATGCCCCTCTTATTATGAACTTTATTTTGACCTATGAACTATTATTGTACGATTTACCATTCATGAATTATGCCCTGTCTATCAATTACTATCTCCCTTATTCACAGCCACATTTGGCTAATTCTTGTACAAATGTTGTTTCCTATTTTATGGCACGTTGTGGTCTGTCTGGTTGATATATAAACTCAGTATTCTTGAAATATATGATTCATATAGAGAAGGCTGAGATTGATGTTCTGTACTTAACAGGCAGAACTAGGCAGGAACAATAAGTATTCTAGACTGCTCGTACGGGTTTTACACAATATTGGTCCAATCGATAATTCCCTGTTCTCTAATTGGCGGTATCATTACGTTATACATTAACAGGGCATACAGGCCACAAGTTATAATACATAGTTGATTGTTCTATAAGTGTCAGATATTTCATACATTTAGTTCTATTTATTATTTTGAATAGAGAAAGGATAAAGAATTGAGAAAAGTAACATAAATTCATTGTATTTCGTAAGGTTCTCGTCAGCTGTTTACAACTTGTAATATTTAAACTAATCCTGTAACTAGGTTGCTTATGTTCTTTACTTCAAGCAATGATTGATAGATACCTTTTTCATGTTACCACCAACTGTATATACAAATTTACATGTACCTGTGAAAGCAGTTACAATGGTAGAACAGTCAGAATGGTCTATGTTTGATTCCAAGAATATGTTGTAAAAAATCTCAGGTCAAACGGGATTTAAGGCTTTTGACAATGCTGTTGCAATAAATCTCTTTGATACAGGACATCAAGTTAATAGACTGAAATTCTTCAACATCATTTATCGAATTCTCTTCAACCACTTCATTATATAATCAGTTTATTATTATTATATCTCTATGATCTCTTGTTACTATGTCTGATGGTCCAGAATCTTTTCTCACTACCCTACCATGGCAATGAATACCTATTTTTTTATCGTTATCAATATGGTAAATTTACAATCATGTTGCCCGATCGAAGCTGCTACCTTGACGCGGTGGTCGGGCTTGCCAATCGTGATGACCCAACCGAGCTATATTGGCTGGAACATATGTTCCTGCAGGTTCTACCATGCCAGGCAGGTCGATTGGTGAACGGTAAGACTAAAAGCAGCAACTCAAGGTCTGAGGGCGAAGTCGTACTGCTGACTGTAGAGGGGTGTGACAGCAGTAAGGTGTCGTCAAGACCAACACTAATCCAATTTCCTTTTCAAGTTCCTCGAGAAATACCCTTCCACGGTGTGGGCAGCCGGGAAGTGATATCAGCCCTCATACCCGTGACAGCACAAGAGACCAAGGTGGTCACATTCAAATATTTCCTACACCTGCTGCTCTCCCTCGTTTCAGATTTCCTATGGCTTTTTCAACTTCGTAAAAAATCGGAGGACCTACATTACTGACTGACTGACTGACAATCATGTTGATTTTAAATATTATAGATTGTAAGCAGTTGATGAGAACGTTTTACGAAATGTATGTTATTCTGTATAATTCTCTGTTCTTATTTTATTCAATTGTGAGATACTTATTATCTTAATGGTTACTTTAAGCCAAATATAGAATGTCTAAAAAATCTTCAACCCTAAGAAGCTATCTCATTTTAACTTTCAAACTTTTTAAGTTGTAGATATTCATGAGATTAAAATATTCTTGTCCTAAGGAAGGTATGTTACCATTCAATCTCTGGATTACCATTTTAGCAGTTCACATTTTCGACTTTATTGGATTTGTGGTTTCTTTTCTGATTAGCGAGTCAGTTTTCTACAGGATGAGGTCACTAACCCTATGTCTAATCCTCCTCCTTTATCCGGGCTTGTAACAGGCAGTAGTCTCAGATGGGCTCTAGGCGGAATTAATGGATTTGTGATATAAGCCATAAATTATTCAATTTTACAGGTGGATGAATGTTCTACTCTCAAACTGATTTCATAGATCACTTTTCAAAATGATTTCTAGCAATACATGAACACGCTTCTCAATACAATTATGATTGTATGGTGTTGAGTAGAAACAACGACATAAAATGAATTTATAGTATTCTGTTTCTGTTGTGATTTTAAGCACGGCTTTTTATCATGTGATTTATTCGTCAATCAAAATACAACGTATTCAATCTTAGTACTGTGCTAAATCAACGACATTCAATCAGTATGAGCAGTCTAGCAGTCCTTATTGATTCTTTGTTCAGCTAGCCCGTCCGATTGAATTCAGAACATCAATAACAGTTTCCATTATGCGAATCATTCATTTCAAACATACTTGGTTTGTATACAAGCCAAACAGACTTCATCATTACCATAAAATAGAAAGTAACATTTATACACAGTTAAGTCAAAATGTACATATATATAATATTAGTCCATTATTAGTTCTCGGAAGTTACTCGTAATTTAATCTTCACTGGGATATAACAATAGAAGGGCGGCCTGCTTGATCATCTGGGCTACCTGTTCCTGTCATCTAGATATTTCAACAAGTTATCTATTGTTGTTTGTTTTAATATATCATTATGTTTATTAATCGCATAACCTATTCTGCTGCGTTTCTGAAAAGTGTACAACCTTTCGTTGTCAAAGTTACAGAAAACTCAATAAGAGACAATATGGTTGCTGACAATGTACAACGAAAAGAATGTACATTATTCAGTTGTTCATTCACTGAAGTGCTAACATCTAACTGGCGATTCCTCAATATTTATCGCCAGGACCGACCAAGAAGAAAGAAACGGAAACTTGTTGAAATACTTTGCGCTGAGAATTCTATATTGTACCAAAATTATAATATTGAATAAAGCTAATAATAATAATAATAATTTAAATAGTATTATGAAATATCTCTCCTTGTCAATTGATCAGCCATAGTCAACTTAGGATCAAGATACACAAGTATGTATTGGTCCATATTATCACATATCACGAAATAAGCGAATAATACAGAATAGATAGAATGTGAAAAAGTTGTGAAATCCATGATGCATATGTCATGTTATCTATTCAGTGTGTCAATAGATATTAATTATAGTAAAGAATGGAAAAAGGGAAAGTTCAGTTACAAATAGTACATGTTAAGTATTACTTTATGAATGAACGACAACTGAAACTGTTATATCCCAGTGAAGATTAAATTACGAGTAACTCCTGAGAGTTATTAATGAACTAAACATTGGTACAAGGAAGTACCACAGAGATATTCGTTACATAAATTATTCGATTTATATGAGATCTGAGACAATGTCCGGGTGATCAAACCGTAGTAAGTGGTTTTCATAGAGGGACACATTCTGAGCCTTTGATCTAAAGGTCTAGTCTGCATCGCAGTGGAGAAACGTAAGCAGATATAGTTCCATGGTAGCCAGTGACCGACGATTGGTTTATACGACATTTGTTCCTTCAGGATCATGGAGACTAATGTTTGTGCTTATATCCTAGTCAAGATTAAATTACGAGTAACTCCTGAGACCTATTAATGAACTAATATTATCTATATATTCTTATCGTATAACTATTCAGTAATTAGATTATGTACATCTATATTCCCCTTATTATAAGCATCGTTTTAAGTTATAATTTATTATTATACCACCTACCATTCTTAAGTTATGCTCAGTTTATTAATTACAGTCTCTCACAATCACGCTCACAGCCACTTTTTGGTTTGATCTTGTATAAATGTTATTTCCTATTTTATGGTGTGATGTGGTCTGTTTGGCTTGTATATAAACCAAGTATGTTTGAAATGAATGATTCGCATAATGGAAACTGTTATTGATGTTCTGGACTCAATCGGACGGGCTAGGTGAACAAAGAATCAATAAGGACTGCTAGACTGCTCATACTGATCGAACGTCGTTGATTTAGCACAGTACTAAGATTGTATAAATTGTATTTCAATTGACGAATAAATCACATGACGACTATTCATTCTTTAAAGACACAACAAACTATCAATATATATATATACATTAATGTAATCATGATTGAAATTATTCACAATCATTTGTATTATAAATTTAAACCACATAGTGTGATATGTGCTACTTGTATTGACATAAGTAGTATATGATGTTAGTCGTAAACAGAAGGTTTGGCAGCAACGAGACAAGAGGGTCTTCTCATGTAAAAACTATAAATATACTAACGTTCTCCCTATTGTGCTTCATACTTCCATCTAACTTTGTTATCTGGAATATAATCTCTTTCCTGTTCAACCGTGTTCTGATTTGAGAACTTGTCGAGTAAATCGGTGTCCGAGAATACTAAGCAATAGGAATAGCTGGGTCATAACTGTAAGGAAGAAATTATAACAGTGGTGACGGGGATGGGATATTTTCCTGAATATCCCAACAGGTAGGGTTACAAAAGGTTGACCCTAAAAATGAACACCTCGCCTTATCCCACAGATATCCGTTTCCCAACAAGTACGGAGCTAACACAAAAATTACCCACAAAAAGGTCGTGTGTGACCGACCTCAAGCAGTTGTCCCTTGGGCGCCGCGGTCAAGCTCTCAGGTCACTAAGACTGTGGTGTGTGCTACTTATGTTGACATAAGTAGTATATGATGTTAGTCGTGAACAGAAGATCTGACAACAGAGAGATAAGAGGATCAAACAGTAAAAAATGGGAACAGAATGCAATTTGTATGAAAATGAAAGAACAATGAAGTCTGAGTCATTTTGAGACAATCGATGGATATCTTACGAATTAAGCATTTACTTGATGATTGTTCGATTTTATTAACACGTCCCGTAATGCTGCGTCAAATACATTCGATTGTTCCTCACTGATGTTCATGTTCACTACAACAGTTATAGAATAACAGTATTTATCTCATCACATCTATTTTATCGTTTTTTCGTTTTTTTTCTTTTTTATTGTTGTTGTTTTCTTTTTGTTTTTCTCTTAGATTTTAGCTTTATTATTATCATTAATTAGTATATTATTATTTATTGTTGGCTCAGTCAGTACATCATGGATTCATATTCATTTTAAATCAATTGGTTTATTTCAACAATGTGATAGTCTATTAAAACAATTCAATCACAATCTCAATCCCAATCCCAATCCCAATCCCGATCCCAATCATAATAATAATGATAAATTAATCATGAATACAGATAATAATGAATTAAATGAGATTGAAAAAATTTGTCAATTTCGTGATTTCCTAAATGGTAAGCTGTTCTTCCCCATAGTTGCTATACAATAGAATCTTTAAATTTCATAATTATAATTCATTTTTGATAATCGTTATTAGATAATATCCATCCAACCACACCAATGGTATATGAATGTGAAAGTGAATACAATGGTTAAGTGCTCAGGCGCGAAGTCAGTAGGTCCTGGGTTCGAATCCTGCGGGGTGCGGGATCATGGATGCGCACTGCTTAGGAGTCCCATACTAGGACGAAACGGTCGTCCAGTGCTTCCAGGTTTCCAACGGTGGTCTAACATCAAATAATTCATGATCTCAACCAAAAAAACTTAACAATCTCCACAACCCCCATACTGGATACAATGTGTTGATTATGTTTATTATTGTACTATGTACAGATAACCAACATTTACAAGTACACTAAGCAAGTATGAAACAGTAGTTCCGAAAAGCAAGTAGACAAGCGAGTTAGCATATGGGTCAAATGAGCAAAAGAGTCAATATATTAACATAGGGAAATCAGTGAATCATCGAATCAATTAAGCGACTAATAGTAAGGCTAGCAGAATGAATATATGCGTTGGCAGTAAGTAAGCAATTAACCGGACATTATTAGCAACAACCAACTGTGGGAAAGAACAAACCAGATTCCAGTGGAGGAAAAATCAGGAAGAAGCGCTGGAAGTGGATAGGACACACATAGAGGAAAGCACCCAACTACTCCACAAGGCAAGCCCTCACATGGAATCCTTAATGCCAAAGGAAAAGAGGAAGACCAAAGAACACATTACGCCGAGAAATGGAAATAGACATGAGAAAAATGAATAAGAATTGGATGGAAGTAGAAAAGAAGGCCCAAGACAGAGTGGATTGGAGAATGGTGGTCGGCGGCCTATGCTCTATTACGAATAACAGGCGCAAGTAAATAAGTAAGTAAGCAATGCTCAAGTATACATATTCATACAAGTGTAACAATGATAATGATACAATCATATAGATAAGTTGTTATTGTACGAATAACTCTATTTGTTGAATAAGTGTTAACAAAAGGGCTTAATCGAATTAAATGTGAACAAACTCAATGGCATATGAGCTGATATAAATTAATCATAATTAAATATTGTTCTGAATTTCAGGCTTTTTTTTATATTTCCAGCTTGATAGGATCACAAATTTGTTTTACTATTTTTATGCCTAGAAACTTAGATTCTTAATATGTCGCGTATAACTTAAGCACTCGAACGCTATAACTCCTCCTAAAGTCATAAATAAGAAGATAGCAGAAAACTAGAGAAACTACTTTTTGAAAAAGAGTCAAAATGTACAGAAAACTATGAGTATTTATAGACATTAGAGTTTATTATATCAACATTATAATTCAATCAATCAGGGAAGACACATGTAGCCTATCACGTTGATATTCTATAAAGCTCCTTTGCTTTCTGATAGGATGGAACACTTCAGCTTCTCTAGGGCCTCTGGAGATTCCGTCGTACTTCTCGTTAATCATCCCAACAACTCCGATCTAATGGATGATATTCATCTTGATCAATCATACGATAACTGAGAAATCCTAATACCTATTGGTTAGAAACATTGCTCCTTTTCTCCCCCGATAACTAATGAGAACAAAATGATAAACATATTATTATGATGATTTAAAAACATACAGAATAAATATGCCCTATACATAGGAAACCATAATTTGTTCATAACTAAGTTATAGGTACTACAAAACTGAACAATCAGAGAATAATTGATAAACGAAAATCAATAAATTGATTGAAAGCTTGTAAATAAGACAACATAAGGCGAGACTATAATTTATGAACGAACCAATCAGATTTACGATAACAGGTCATAGATTTTACCGCGAAATTCATTCATCAATATGGCTAAATAGAGTTTTGGCATTATAGCTGATTTTAGTTCGTGATCAAAACTATATATCTTATTTCCTAACCCTAACCATCATCTATTCTTCAAACTGTTTCATAACCTTCACTTAGCCCTAGTAAGTAGGTAGATACTTTCAAGGTCATTTTAGCGTCACTCAAAGGTCAGTTCATAAATTCTAATTTCATCCAGTATGAAAGTACAACAAATAATTACACCATGAAAATGAATCTGAAATGTTTCACTTTCTTCAAATATCCTCTTCAATCGAATAAATATTATTGAAGATGATTTGTGTGTGTTGTGTTATTATATTCAATCAATCATTTAGAATTAATACTATTATCATTTGAATATTTCTAGGTTCTAATGTATGACGAAACAAAACATTCATTTAGTACAAAAGTAGAATTGAACATAGACTAGTTAAACCGGATAATTGATATACAAAATGACATGTTAACGATGAAAAGTAATTAAGTTAAATAAGAATATAGGCAGGAATTTGATAAGAATATTTATATCAATGAAAGACAATGATATAAGTAAACAGTATACACAACACTTTACTAAATAAAATGCCCCCAAATGCCCTAGTATGACCGAGAGTGGGAAGGGCCCGCCCTTGCTCTCGAAACGCCCTCACACGGCCACGCGTATACAGCCTCTGCCAGGGAAGTCCTACTCATTGCCTTCTTGTGGCGCGGGTGCTGTTTACGAAAATGAGAGGATGAAAAGCGAATGTTCGGCGCTTTAACCGGATCCAAAACCAGTGGTGAACATGGGCTACGGTATCCTGCGGGAACAAATGGCGTATCAACCAATTGTTGGTCACCGGCTACCATAGGAATGCATCTCCTGACGATGCTCCACGGTCTTGTGGGTTAGACCTTTAGGTCAAAGGCTCGGGGTGCAGCTCCCTAAGAAAACTACCTTCTTCGGTCTGGGCACGCGAGCAGTATCACAGCCCCCCCACACACACACACAAATATGGTGTGGCGCATATATATTTGGTTCCCTGTTGCACCAATATTTATGTGTTGAAATAAAATAATAATAAATAAAATGGTCAATAGTAATCAATATGAATTATATGGCAATGCCACATTACAAATCTTATATGAAATCAAAATGTAGAAGGTTTCAACAACAAATCGTAAACGTACTGATATCGATCTACATTAACAGATATGACTGAATAAAGTTGTGTCATGTCCGTGTTTACTTTATAATGTCAAGCGAATATTCGTCATTGTAACGATTACATTAATACCTCTATCCAGTCCCATATATTTAATCTAAGTAAAGAATTCCCAGCATAATATATTCAATATTGTAGTAGATTTACCACCTTATATTCTCTTCAACTTATCATTATTTACAAAAAATTGCAAACAATTATGATTATTGCAGTTTGTTTCTTTGTACAATATATATGTATCAAAAAGGATTTTTGTGGATATTATAGTAATTTCAAAAGTTGAGATCATGACTCACTTTAAGCTAGACCACTATGGAGAACCTGAAAGCACTGGACCGCCGTGTCGTCCTAGTATGGGAATCTTCAGTAGTGCGCATTGACGATCCTGCCTGACGAGATTTGAACACAGGACCTATCTATTTTGCTGTTGAGAAGTCCCAAAATAGGACGAAATGGTCATTCAGTGCTTCCAGGTTTTCCATGGTGGTCTAGCTCCAACTGACTCATAATCTTAATTATAATATATTTGTTACATGAAATTATCTTTAAGAAAAAAACCATCCATCCAGTATGTTAATCGTTCCATTTGAATTCACATCATTAAATTTTAAGTTTGTTACAAAGTTGATTAAATATATATTAGGTGACAGAAGAGATAAATTATATTAGGAAGGATGTTTGTCTGCAGTTACATGTTTTATTCGATCTACTTCAGCTTGGATACTAATGACAATATCATTGTCCCTCACATAAAGAAATTTGTGGCTGAAGGATAAGAATGTACCAGTCAAATCATATTCATCTTGACTATAAGTAACATACGTCTAATCAAGTTTACTAGTATAGTTATATATTGTTAAGTTTTCTAATATATTCGTTTAATTAAGACCACTACTGATCGGATTTGTATTATTATAATACAATGATCTGTATATGCTAATCTGTCAAACTAAATCTAATGAACACTCAATAGTAACTAAGAAAATTGGAATGCGCTTCTCTCCCTCTAAATGCAAGTTGTTGCTTCAGGACTGGTCTGCGTCAACACCTGAACTAAGAATAGGGAGTGAAGTAGTCGAACGCGTTGACAACTTCACTTATCTTGGAAGTGTGATCAGCCCTAATGGGTTGGTATCGGACGAAATCTCAGCACGGATTCGAAAAGCTCGTTTGGCTTTTGCCAACTTACGTCACCTTTGGCGAAGGCGAGATATCCGTCTATCAATAAAAGGACGAGTATACTGCGCGGCACTCCGTTCTGTTTTAATTTACGGCAGCGAAACATGGTCATTAAGAGTAGAAGATACTCGTAAGCTATTAGTATTTGACCACAGATGCCTTAGAAATATTGCTGGCGTCTGCTGGGATCACCGGGTAAGTAATAGTGAGGTTAGACGCAGGGTATTAGGAAATGATGGTAAATCAATTGATGAGGTTATGAATCTTCATCGACTGAGATGGTTGGGCCACGTATTACGTATGCCTGAACACTGATTATCACGACGTGCAATGCTATCCGGTATTGGAGATGGTTGGAAGAAAGTTAGGGGCGGCCAAACCAAAACGTGGCGTCAGTGTTTGAAGTCACTAACTTCTAGTCTGAGCCATGTTGGTAGATGCAGACTACTTGGTTGGGGTCCGCGTGACTATCGTAACCAATGGTTGGAGACTCTTGGTGACATGGCTCAGAATCGATCACAATGGCGTCGGTGTATACACTCCCTGTCTTCCCTTAAACTAAGAGATTAAAATCGCTTCATATCTTTCTTTCTACGAACCAATTTTTTCTTCTTGTACTATATCTCTATATGCAATCTTTCTCCTATATATTACTACTTTTGACCTAACCACTGCTATGAATCCGGTGTTCATCTTGTTGTGTTGATGCGGTATGGCAACCTGGACAGATGCACATATGTGCCTGGTCCTACGTTGTAGCTGACTGACTGACTGATTGTTAACTCTTATTGGTCAAGAAATCACATCTTCCTCTACCTCAAATATTCAGTTCAAATTAACCCTCTTTTCATAGATCTCGAATATTCATAGGTTAATATAAATGAATTGTCTGAATACATCACATCGCATATAAGAAGTCAGTTTATGTTCAATTAAGCTGAGAGTAATAGAAATTGAAATAAAATATAAATAACTAATCAACGATAATTTAGAATTATTGAAACATATCGACGATTTGCACATTCAACGACATTTTACAAATAGGTCGGTATAAAAATCTTGTGGTAGTTTCATATAGGTTTGAATAGCATGTGACAAATGATCCAGTTTAATAGGCTTAATCATATTTTAATGAACTGTTGCTATTTCTTGGTTTAAGCAAACTTAGCCTTAGATGGTGGTTGGAGGTAGTCAACAGGAAACCCTGGACCCGGGTTTCGTGCTACTTGGCACTCGTCAGCAAGGTGTACCTGTAATCTTGAGGGAACTGGTGCTCCCTGGCCGATTCGATCTCGTGACACCCAGCTTCACAGTCAGAGACGTTACCACTGAGCTATCCGAGCCGTGACTAACCTCCTGTAGGACTGAGATGTAATCACAATTGATTGATCACTGGGTGGAGAACAATCTCATGCTTGTCTAGTCCTTAATAGTGCAGATCTTTTACTCTGGCATAATACTTACTTAGTAATCACATATTAAAATTAAGAATAATTTCTCATTATGTGACAGTTCCAGAAGTCATGACTTCTTCATTATTCTCTCGGTTATACTGTATGCTGTAACAAATCTATATGACATGTAATGTACAAGCTCATAGTTGTATGAACTGATGTAAGGACGAACAATCATGTAACAAGTAACCGCAATCTTTCTATATTATGTGTACATTTTTACATATGTGTATCAGTCTGCTTGTCAGTTTGACTATTTTATCGCATTAAGTCTTTGACATATTTGAAGATATATAAACACTGTGTTTACTCTTTCCTACGTAAGAACCGTCGGTACAATTGGCAATATATAAATATTTCCCATAACAAACTTCCTCTCACCTTCTAGATTATACATGTTTAATCTGCTGGAATAATATGTTCGAAAGAGTATTTCAGCTTCTATTTCCTTTTACACCTTTTATAATAGTTGACTAAAAGAAGTTGTAGTATAGTGAACAAGAACACAAGTGGGAACAGCCGAATATATCACGAAACATCTCACTGAAATCTGAGAACCATACAGTAAATACTTCGTTTGTAAAATATCAATCTCCATTGTCTCAAACTTGAATGCTTCTTTTGTAAATATGGGTCCATAGTCTCAGATTTCATTGTTCTTGCATTTTCATAACAATCGCCTTCTGTTCCCGTTGTTTCCTTCTCGATCTTCTACTGAAATACATTCTATCCTTGATTATCGTTATATACTACTTGTGTAGATATAAGTAGCTCACACCACAGTAGTTATACAAGTTTAATAGTGTTATAATGTAAATTATGCTAATTCATATGATGACAAACACTCGTTAAGAATCACCTTTATTGATATAAACGAAAACTGATACAAGTCACTTGTAATATAAAATACGTGACATATAATGTGTACATATATCTGTTTTCTTTCACTAATCAAGCAAAGCTTTTACTTACTTACTTACGCCTGTTACTGTTAATGGAGCAAAGGCCGCCGACTAGCATTCTCCAACCCACTCCGTCCTGAGCCTTCTTTTCTAGTTCCAATCAATCAAAGCTACTGTAACGAACAAAACACGGGAGAGGACAATCGAATGTGTTGAACACAAAATTACAGCACTTGTTAACACAATCTAACAATCATATAGTAAATACGTAATTTGCAAAATGTCCATCAATTGTCTTATAATGACTCACACTTCATTGTTCTTACATTTTCATACAAATTGCATCCTGTTTCCATTCTTTACTGTATGATCCTCTTATCTCTCTGCTGCCAGATCTTCTGTTTACGACTAACATCATATACTACTTATGTCAACATAAGTAGCACACACCACAGTCTTAGTGATTTGAGAGCTTGAGCGCAGCGCCCAAGGGACAACTGCTTGAGGTCGGTCACACACGACCTTTTTGTGGGTAATTTTCGTGTTAGCTCCGTACTTGTTGGAAGACGGATATCTGTAGGATAAGGCGAGGGTCAACCTTTTGTAACCCTACCTGTTGGGATATTCAGGAAAATATCCCATCCCCGTCACCACTATTATAATTTCTTCCTTACAGTTATGACCCAGCTATTCCTATTGCTTAGTATTCTCGGACACCGATTTACTCGACAAGTTCTCAAATCAGAACACGGTTGAACAGGAAAGAGATTATATTCCAGATAACAAAGTTAGATGGAAGTAAGAAGCACAATAGGGAGAACGTTAGTATATTTATAGTTTTTACATGAGAAGACCCTATTGTCTCGTTGCTGCCAGACCTTCTGTTCACGACTAACATCATATACTACTTATGTCAATATAAGTAGCACACACCACACTATTATTATCTAAATACATCAGATTATATCTAACTATAAAATGGTCAAATATCATAAAAAAAAGTTTATATTTATCATTGTTACCAATTTCATATTATGAATTACATTTGTTTTGATGGTATCCTCAAAAAATGTTATTGACATAATAATCCATTAAATGATGTTTCCCTTTTTTTTCTTCTAGTTAAAGTACTTATCATTATTATCTTAGATTTGATTGCTTTGATCTTAGCAACAATTGGAAGTTCTTTACTATTAAGTGGAATATTCTCATTGAATATAAAACGTAAACGTACATTTTATCATATATCCATTGTATTGCATATACTGTCATGTAAGTTCTTTAAAGATTAATTAATCATCAGTGTTTTTACTGTTTATGTAATATCAGAAAAGGTTTTCTGTGAATATTATAGTCATTTTAATTGATAAGATCATAAGTCAATTGAAGCTAGTTCACCGTGAAAATAATATTCACGAAAACCCTTAAAGATATTCATCAACATATGCTCACTAGTTACTGGCTTCAAGATGTATTTTCTAGAGTTCTAGTGGGAAGCGGTGAGCAGTGGAGTTCAACAGAGTCTATTATGAGATAGTAACTCACTGAAGACAATGGTGGATGTGTTGCTCAATTTTGTGGATTAGTTGAAGTTAGACATTAACACTGTTGGATTACAGCTCAGTGGTTTAGAGGTTAAGCGTTCGCCCACGAGACTGATAATTCCTGTGTTTAAATTTTGAGAGGCGTTATTACGGATGAGCACTGATGAAGAGTCCCACAATAAGACGAAACGGCCGTCCAGCACTTCCGGATTTTCCATAGTAGTCTAACTTCAACTGACTCATGATTTCAACTAATAAGATAAGTTGTATGCTAATTATCACTAGTCCGCAGATTTTGTGAATTCGATCAAAATAACTGAAATACTGAATTACTATTAGATTTTCTTTATAAATAGATGTATGGCCTATTTAATTTTGATTACTGGAAATTCGATGATATGACTTTTTGAAGTTCCAAGTTATAATTCCTTCATTCCTTCATTAAGTCGTAATAACACTTATAGTTTTCAATAAATTATCCAAATATCTAAAAAATTTCAGGAAGTTTCTTCAGAGTTGAAATAATCAATAACTATGTAGTGAGGTAAGAGAAGGTTGATACCAGTTAAATAATAACAAATGATAGTTTAAACTTATGACTTGCAAAGATCTTTAATTGTCCAATCTGAATTATAGTTCTGACAATAAATAATAGATTAGTTCGGTACGACTAGATACAAAAGAAGTAAGAACTGCATATTAGTAATTATTTGTTTAATACTAAAAAGATGGATGAAAAGCATTACAAGTAATTAATTTCATACAATTGTTTAGCTTAGAAAGTGTAACAAAACATAAATAATTGTGTCTACAGAATATGATAAACATTTGATTGTATCTTTTTAACCATATACTTTACATTTTTTTTCATAGTCATCTTCCAACCACATCACTGACCAATAATCCTAGTTCATCATTTAAGTTACTTACTTTTACTTACGCCTGTTACCCCCCCCCCAATGGAGCATAGGCCGCTGACCAGCATTCTCTAACCCACTCTGTCCTGGGCCTTCTTTTCTACTTCTATCCAATTCTTGTTCATTTTTCTCATGTCTATCTCCATTTCTCGGCGTAATGTGTTCTTTGGTCTTCCTCTTTTCCTTTGCCCTTCAGGATTCCATGTGAGGGCTTGTCTTGTGACTCAGTTGGGTGCTTTCTTCAATGTGTATCCTATCCACTTCCAGCGCTTCTTTCTAATTTCTTTCTCGACTGGGATCTGGTTTGTTCTCTCCCACAGTACGTTGTTGCTAATAGTGCCCGGCCAATGGATCTGAAGTATTTTGCGTAGACAATTGTTAATAAACACCTGTATTTTCTGGATGATGGCTTTGCTAGTTCTCCAGGTTTCTGCCCCATACAGTAGAACTGTCTCGACATTTGTATTGAAAATCCTGACTTTGGTGTTGGTTGACAGTTGCTTTGAGTTCCAGATGTTCCTCAGTTGTAAATATGCTGCTCTTGCTTTGCCGATCCGCGCCTTCACATCTGCATCAGATCCACCCTGTTCGTCAATGATGCTGCCCAAATACGTAAAGGTTTTTACATCTTCCAAATCTTCTCCGTCAATTGTGATTGGATTGGTGCAGTCTGTGTTGTATCGGAGAATCCTGCTTTTCCTTTTGTGTATATTGAGACCTACTGCTGCTGAGGCTGCTGCCACACTGTTTGTCTTCTCCTGAATCTGTTGTTGTATTTGGGATAGAAGGGCCAGATCGTCTGCGAAGTCTAAATCATCATTTAAGGTTACTTTAATGATTAGGTAAGGTAAGTATGGGCAATACAAGATCCGAATCATAAAATGGCTCCTTTCTGTTCAGGCAAAAAAAAACACAATTCCTGAAAATTTTACAGAAATATATCATAAATATTTTATTAGAAATGCTGCATCACAGTCAAGTTTGGTTTGAACAGTTAACCAATCATATCATCGAAATATATCAGCCAATAAAATTACGAATAATAATAGCCAATCACTTTTATCCATTATGTGTGTCAGTTGTAAGTAGTTGACCAATAGGGTTACGAAAGAAAGTCTAATTCATTAGGTGTTTTCTGACCAAGAAAATCAAAACTAACAAATTGGATTTCAATCGTTGAGATCATGAGCCAATTAAAGCTAGATCCCCATAGGAAACCTAGATGCACTGGACGGCTGTTTCGTCCTATTGTGGGACTCCTCAAGAGTGATCATCCACAATACCGCCTTTTGAGGTTCCAACCTAGGACCTCTCAGTCTCGTAGGCGAACGCTTAACCTCTAAACCACTGAGCTGACATCCAACGATGTTGGTGTCTAACTTCAACTAATCTACAAAATTGAGCGACACATCTACCATTGTCTGAAGCAAACAAGCCTGTTGTTAATTAAATATTCTAAAAAAAGACTCAGGACAAAAACACATATTTGACGATACATTGAAAGCAATTAACAAAAAAATAATAATAGTTTCTCGGTGACTTATATGAATGAATACTTTTGAATAATACATTGAAACTAACTCTGATCACAAACTAATATTAACTGAAGGACCATTGTATACTGGAGCGTTATTTTGTTGTTATTGAATAATACCATTAGATGCCGGCTCATTGGTCTAGTTGGTTAAGCACTTGTCGCGAGACTGATAGGTTCTGGGTTCGAATCCCGCGGGGCGTTATTATGGATGCGCAATGCTGAGGAGTCCCACAACAGGACGAAACGGCCTTCCGGCACTTCCAACTTTTCCATGATGGTCTAGCTTCAATTGACTCACGATCTCAACTAATGAAATTACTACAATCTCCGCAAACCCTTTTCTGATGTTATTGAATACTTTAGAAATAGGCACATCCATGGTTATGACTTGTTTATTTTAAGATCTTAGTTGAAGGGTTCGATGTTCTCGGAGAATCGCAAGTAGGATAGGATGTGTATATTTAAAATCGCTTTTAGCCATCATCAAAATATCAAACGAAATGTATAGCATTTTTTTTAAAATTTGGTTTTGTTAATAATCCCAAGTCAACTAGCAAAGTAGTGGACTTGAAAATTAAATTACATTACCGTAGAATTTGATACCTACCAATAATAGTGAATGTAAAATAATACAATAATTGATAAATTTTGAGATTTTCCACCAATGAACTCTGATCTAGTTGTTTAAAACCATTACACATGCCAAGAGACACAAAATGAACGATTTAATTTGGAAGTTGTATGATTAGAATAAACTTACGTGGAGTTATGAATTGGAATAAAAGTTTTCATTCTCCATAATATAGTTTCATTATTTTTTCAAAAGCTTTTATCAATTGACCTCCAACCACACTTTACTTACTATCCCAAAGCGAGCTGAATAGCAAATAGACGTATGTCCTACAACTCTTGGTGAGGTTGACAAGGCTATAGGCAATCTAAAGCGAAAGAGAGCAGCAGGGCCTGATGGACTAACCCTTAGATTTTTAAGGATGATGGCCCAGTTCTAGCAGTTACATTAACTGAGATCTTAGCTAAAATCTGGAAATTGCACGCAATTCAGTGCAATCGGTCTCGGTCGCTGATCGTTATTCTATAAGAAAGCACAAAAGTCGTCTTATGGTAATCACAGAGCAAACAGTTTAAATAATTCAGTGTCCAAAATATTAGTCTCTATACTACTTACACATCTAACTAGAACTCTTGAAAAGCAAACCCGAGTAAACCAGGCTGGTTTAACTGTCATAGATATGCCTTTAGAAACAATATTATCATCGTTCGACTATTCAGGGGTTGATCTACCAGAAGATTCACTTACTCACTCGGAATGTCCAGAAGATATAGTTGTGTTCAGTGAAGACGCTAGAAAAATTCAGTCTTCTGACCATCTTAAAACACAATGCAAGCATGTTTGAGATGCAGTCCTCTCCTGCCAAGTGTAAAATGTTGCTTCGCGATTGGCTTGCGTCATCACCCGGATTAATCACAATGAGTGGGGCAGCTGAACGCATCGTCAACTCCACTTATCTTGGACGTCTCATCAATCATAATCTGATGACTGACGAAATCTTCACATACACTGACAGTCCGACTGGCTTTTACCAACTTGCATCACTTGTGGTGCAGGTGACATCCTTTTGCCAAACAAAGGACGGGTTCTCTGAGCAGCAGTTCAATTCGTCCTACTTCATGAGTGTGAAATATGACCATTAGTAATAGAGGATATTCGTAGGTTACTAGTATTCCATCATAGATGTCTTCGAAGCATTGCTCATGTGTGTTGAGATCACAGACTAATTAATGCATGGATTAGGAATAGACTGCCATCAGGTAGTGAATCTGTATCAACTGAGGTGGTTGGTACATTCGTTACGTAAGCTTAACTACGGCCTACCTCAACGAGCGATGATTTTTGGTGTAGAAACAGGTTGGAACAAAACTAAGAGCGCCCAAACACAACGTCAGTCCATGATGTCACTAACAGTGAGTCAGCTACAACGTAGCACCAGGCACATATATGCACCGGTTCAAGTTGTCATACCGCATTAGCACAACAACATGAACACCGGATTCATAGAATCAGTTAACTCAATCGTGTAATATATAAAAGATCTTATGTAAGGATATAGTACAGAAAAAAAGAATCGGTTCGTAGAAAGAAAGATATAAAACGATTTTAATCTCTTAGTTTAAGGGAAGACAGGGAGTGTATGCACCGACGCCATTGTGATCGATTTTGAGCCATGTCACCAAGAGTCTCCAACCATTGGTTACGATAGTTACGCGGACCCCAACCAAGTAGTCTGCATCTACGAACATGGCTAAGACTAGAAGTTGGTGATTACAAGCACTACAATTAAGCATTCTATCTAAATCTATACTTCTATTATCAAAAACGTATTTGTACGTAATAAATCAGGCTTTAATAGTTGAATAACTTAGTTCACTTATTTAGAATGTATCTTGCGCGCGAGACTGATAAGTCCTGGGTTCGAATCCTGTGAGTGAGATCATGGATGCGCACTGCTGAGGAGTCCCACAAAAGGCTTTCCATGGTGGTTTGTCATTAATTGACTCATAATCTTAACAATTAAAATTACTAGAATATCCACAAAAACCCTTCTGATATTAATCAACCTATGCTCATTAATGACTATCTCCAAGATGTATTTCTTGTAGTTCTAGTTTGAAGCAGTAATCAGTGGAGTTCAATCGAGTCTGTTGTGATATAATCTTAATTATTATAGATTCTTTTCATGAATACTAAAATAGTTAAATATTTATTTATATAAAATTAATTAATTATGATTTAAACATTGAATTTCAATTTTTTTTGTTTGTTTTAGGTATCACAATATTATCAGCATTAATTATCTTAGTGATTGAATGTATGAATGAAGCAAATCAGAATTCATCATCTACATCATCATCATTAGAGAATCAATCAACTATTACAGTTGGTTGGTCATTGATTATTGTTTGTTGTGGAATATTTATACTTGGTATATCAGTTTGTCTTGTTTTATTTGATAGAGGTGGTGAAGAAATTGAATATCGTGAAACAATTCATCGATCATCAAATTATATAGGAGATTCATAAAGAGATAGAAAGACAGAAAAAAAAAAAAGAGAGTAGTAACCAAGAAGGAAAAAGAAATAATATTGGAATGAGGATGAAGTAATTCAAGTTAATAAGCATCTAACTATCTATGGTGCATATAAATATTGATTTTTGATTTTCTGTAGACAAAATATGCACAAAACACATATATATACATTATGGATTTGTGTGCACATATACACATATACGATGCCTTAATTTGTATTCCGATCATATTGAATTGGCCAATTAGTATCAAGTGTTCTTTGTTTTTTTTTTTTTGAATATTCTATAGGGATTTCGAAAGTGCAATTAGTCTCAGTTGACTATTTACATTCACCAATAGCATATCTGCTTGGTTTAAATGTGTTTGTAATTATGTTGACACAAGGAAAAGGAAAGAAACAAGAATTATGAAATAAACTACATCTTCTTTAGCCTTTCCTTATATAAAAATTCATATTCTTAACATGATATAGAAAGGTTGAAGTGTAGTTCAGTAAGTAGGCTGACTGAATCATTTCTTGTGTTATTTAATAAAGATTTTCAATATGAGTTTTCTTTCGCTTTCCCTCATCAACATATCAGGTGATAAGATGATGTTAGTCTCTCTGCCCCACCCCAAGGCCGTTTATTCATGAATTGAACTTACTTATCACTAGCCTCAAAGTAGAACTGAACAACCGGTCGTGTCAAGGCTTTAAACTATATCGAGACAAATTCTCTCTTGTATATCAATCAGTGGATGGATTAAGAACGTAACAAGAAGCATTTAATTTAAAAGGTTACGCTAATACATGAGGACTGTGATCAATTAGTCATTAGTTAGTCAAACAGTTCCAGTTTGCATTTAAAATGATATTACAATCAAACTAAGTTTATGATATTGAAACATGATATTAAGTTGAAACAACAAATCTTAAGATTATGATGAATAGGTATAACATATGGTAATCGTAAATAATTTTCGAAGTGTCTTTTCCAATTAGGTAATCGCCATTTTTTAAAAATATCTTCATCCTATATTACAATCCCCTCATAGGATGACGATCAAATACAAAGTCCCGATGGATTAGACATTAGAAAACAATATGATTCATTAGTCAGTCAGTCAGTCAGTAACAACGTAGAACTTCGTACGTACGTACATCAGTTCGAGTTGCCACACCACATTAGCACAGAGATGCAGTTGTCGATTCAAATCCCGTAGTGGTAGAAGTAATAAGAGTATAAGCAGTAATCGGGAAGAATTCAGAAGATTAGAATTTGAGAGAACACAAAGAGTGTATGCACCTGCGCCATTGCAAACGATTTCGAGCCATGTCATTCAGGGTCTCTAACCATCGGTTGCTATCATCTCGCGGTCCCCAACCACATAGTCTACACCTACCAACATGACTCAGTCCACTTGTCAGTGACTTCATGGACTTGTGCCATGTTTTGGTCTGGCCGCCCCTAGCTTTCTTCCAACCTACTCCTATACCACTGAACATAGCACGTCGAGGTAGTCGGTGGTTGGGCATACGTAACACGTGTCCCAGCCATCTCAACTGATGAAGTTTCACTACGTCATCAATTGATTTGCCATCCTTACCTAGTACCCGTTTCCTAACAACTGTGTTACTTACTCGATGGTCCCATGATATACGAGCTATGTTTCGAAGACACCTATGATCGAATACTAGTAACCTACGGATATCCTCTACTCTTACCGGCCATGTTTCACTGCCATAAAGTAGAACGGAACGAACTGCTGCGCAGTAAACACGTCCTTTGGTTGATAGACGGATATCTCGCCTACGCCATAAATGACGCAAGTTGGCAAAAGCTAGTCGAGCCTTCTGTATCCGTGCTGAGATTTCGTCACACACCAAACCACAAGAGCTGATGAGACTTCCAAGATAAGTGAAGCGGTCGACACACTCAACTACTTCACTCCCTATCACTAGTTCGGGTGTGATAGGGAGTGATTCATTAACACATTATCCAATATATATTACCATGGATAGAAAAATGCAGATCTGTAAAATTACTACTGATTAACTTTAAAGCAATTAGTCCGTTTTATATAAAAATGCCTTGACAAGTATATGTGACCAGATTGTTTGAAGTGTATAGCGCAAATACATCACATTTTTCAGATAAACTCCGTTTTCTCATTGTTCTATCGAGATGCTGATTAACTTACAAAATAACATTGAATAGTTGTTGAAGAATGAAAGTGGAATCACAATAAACAACTAACGAGTTATCATTATTTCCAATCAAAGAATGTAAGTTTAAAAATGTGCACAATTAGTTGATCTAGTTGAAAATGATAACACATTCGATTGAGAAATTCAAGAAACTACTCATGAGTAAGTATTTGCATGTTGAAACAAATGATTCACAAAAGATGGTACATAAACAGAAAACCTGGTCTTCAGGTTGACAATCCATTTTTATCATTCACGATGCAGGAATTTTGTCGTAATCATTCCGAACGAGTTTTTGTGGAGCCTAACTTAACAGCACTGGGTTTGAAAATTCGACGGATTGTGCGAATTCGATTTCGTTTAGGATGAATATATCGATGTAACTGAATTAATTGATCCGACAAATGACAAACTTGTGTAGTACGCTTTAGCGGTTATGAAATCCTGTCACCTCGCAATGTACATATTAGTTGAGTTGAATTTTATTTTTATTTATTTGAACACATAGATATTGGTACAAAGGGACACCAAATAGTAGTAAATGACAAAGGATCAGGGAGTTCTGCCAACTACCTCAAAAAAACCCTGATATTTTGGTTGCTGTACTGCACGAAAATTATATACTGAAATCAAATTACAAATAATTTGTATCTTAATCATCTAATTTGATGACCACTTTAGATAATTGATGCACAAAACGAAAGAGAACCATGCGAGTGGATTTCCAGAGATTGGTTCAAGAGTAGATATGAGCTTGGACATTAACTCAGGGTAACGCATTCACTATCAGAAAATAGCTGAATGCTTACCAGATGTTGCTGATCTAAACATGTTACAAATGTCAAATATTCTATTTGTAGTTCACCCTACGTATGGGATAACAGAACTATCGGTCACAAAAAATATGTAATTAGGTAGCACTACAATTTTCTAGTCAATAGACTGTTGTACACGGGCAAATCACTGAGGAATGTTACGACCAAACTTGAATATCGCTTATTCAAAACCTATCTACGAAATACATGGCTTTGAAGTAGTAAATTCATCATCACTTGATTATAGATAAAGTGTAGAGATCAAAGGAATCACGAAGGTTTAACCGACAGTATCAACACATGAGTGCTTGTTATGGGTAGAAGTTATTCTGAAATCGGAAAACTGAGAAGTACATAATCTAAAGTTTAACATTAAAGTCGACTAGGATTCGGTCTTTTGGAAAATATTTGAGTATTGCACGGGCTTTAATATGAACGGGAATCGCGTCTTCGTGATTTAAATACATTTTAAATAGCGAAGATTTGCAGATCTAGCAAGTTTTTGGTCGTTGCATTCTTCTGCATGAAGTGAGCACAATTACGTTCAAAACGACAATGAGAACTTCGGTACAAAACCACCTAACTCAGAGAAGATAGCAATCGAAAACATTCTGACAGATGTCGGCACATCAAGACTGAGAAACTTCTAAGGTCAGTGCATTTAAAATTTTAAGTCTTGTTAACAATAACAAAACTTAATTACTAGAACGATCTGTTGGTATGAGTATATGCTGCCTCAATGACATACGCCGTGTTTTCTTACTTGACAAACAACTAACCAATAAACAAAATGAAATTGATTGTATACCACCTACCGACCACCTAAGAAAAACCCCTGGAATTTATAGAATGCTCATACTAGTTTACTAAACCATCCATGATTTCTACTCGTTCACACCAGACTCAGAAATTAACAGCTCTCTAAAAAGAAAACTCCGCAGACTAATCCTTAGACATTTTGGAGACGAATATGATATCCATAAGAAAACCGAACCGTTCAGAACTTTTTTTTAACAAGTCTTTCTATTACTATGAAATGAAGTAATTAGTTCATAATCCGAAATTTAGAGCAATTTATGCTCATTAAAACCATTTACTAAACGGCAGTGTTAATTTAATTTAAAGAAGTTGAGCTTACAATGGTGCAGTCCACCATATGACTTCAGCGGTTTCAAGAAGCATGATTTGAATTTTATTATTACAGTAACCTGATGTCAAATGTCAACTGTTATGTTGGATGCCAACCAATCATACATTTACAGATAGAGGAGAATGTACAGCAAACATTTCGAAAACGCAAAGAGCCTAAAAGCAAACAACATTACATCGCTAAAATAGAAACTAGTCATCCATGATATATAAGAGAACAATAATCATAGGATGAAATTGTCAAACTAGGAGGAAGTTTCGGGAGAATAACACTACAAACTGACCTTTATACGATAACCTAAACGAATTTATTTCCTAGCAACTAACCAACTTTAAGTAGTATAACTAAAAAAAACAAACAAATTTATCAGGCAAATGTAAACGACATATATCTGTAAATATATGTATATATCCTGTTTACAAGAATAACCAATCAAGTTAGCCGATGGGCAGAAGGGGAACGTGTACAACAATTATAAATGATGATAAATGATGATAAAACTGCAGATCAATTGTCAAATCATAGACAGTCAAGAAGAACTATATGGGATTCTCAAATTGAAAAATAGAGAAAGAGCAATAAAATCACCACTAGTCAAAGCAATCAATCGGAAACACAAGCTATTGTGTTAACAATTTAATAGACAATGTATAACATGACAAAGATTCATAAGAAACACAGAATTTACAGTCAAACATTTAATTTAATAAAAACTCAAAGAGACATAGAATTGACACAAACAAAAAAAAATCAAAAGAAAATATCCTGTTTATAGAAAAACTGGCCAAGACTACTACAGTTGGATCTACAAAAATGATGTGCATTTTAAGACAAGTATTGACCACTTTTCAATTGTAATGCGAAAAGACTACAGTATGATCATACGATATATAGTAAGGATGGAAGCACAAAACTCGGAAAATAATTCTCCACAATAAAAGTCAAAAAACACATTGTACGGATGATTTGTCAATGAAGTCCATCTGTAAAGAATGTAAGAAATGGTGAAAAAAGAAATAGGTAACTTAATTGAAGTGGAATCACAAATATACATTGTACTAATAAGAAAAACTGAGGAAGTGAAGCAACATTACACAATAAATTTATAACTATTTTCGTATTAAGCTAAAAACCAAAATCTTTGTATCAGTCAGCTACAACATAGGACAAGGCACATATATGCACCGGTTCAAGTTGTCATACCGCATTAGCACAACAACATGAACACCGGATTCATAGAAGTAGTTAATTCAATGATGGTAATATATAAAAGATCTTAATGTAAGGATATAGTACAGAAAAAAAGAATTGGTTCGTAGAAAGAAAGATATAAAACGATTTTAATCTCTTAGTTTAAGGGAAAACAGAGAGTGTATACACCGACGCCATTGTGATCGATTCTGAGCCATGTCACCAAGAGTCTCCAACCATTGGTTACGATAGTCACGCGAACCCCAACCAAGTAGTCTACATATACCAACATGGCTCAGACTAGAAATAAGTGACTTCAAGCACTGATGCCACGTTTTGGTTTGGCGACCCCCAACTATCTTCCCATAGTCTCCAACACTGATCAGAATTGCACGTCGTGGTAAACGGTTTTCAGGCCCAACCATTACAGTCGATGGAGATTCACAACCTCATCGACTGATATACTATCATTTCCCAATACCTTGCATCTAACCTTACCATTACTTACCACTCGGTGATCCCAGCAGATGAGAGCAATGTTTCTAAAACATCTGTGATCAAATACTAGTAACTTACTGGTATCCTCAACCTTTAATGGCCATGTTCCGCAGCCGTAAAGCAAAACAAAACGAAATGTTTCTCAGTATACTCATCGTTTAATTGATAGACGGATATCTCGCCTTCGCCACAGATGATCTAAGTTAGCAAAAGCCAAACAGACTTTCGTCAGACACCAACCCATAAGGGCTGACCGAACTTTTAAGATAAATGAAGTTGTTGATGCATGCCAGTCCTGAAGTAACAATTTACATTTAGATGGGCAGGAACGCATCCTAAACAGCCTGGCATTGTTGCTCAGTGCTACCAAAAGACTCTGCATTTTATCAACTTTTTCACCATCATCTGTGTATATTAAGTCAATAAGAGGACCTACTGGTAGATCCTTTCCTGAAAATTCAAGCGATAAGAACGTTATTTCCATCAGTAAGTCTATGATGAAATTAAACAGAAATGGAGAAAGTGGACAGCTTCGCCGGACACCACTTGAGGTTGCAAAATCAGATGACAGTTCGCCATAAGTTGTTAGTGTTCGAGTAAAGAGCCTTCACAAGGTTTATGTACTTTTGAAGTACGTCTTTCAATGACAGACAATGTCAGAAAATGTGACTGTGTTACACTAACAATCAAGGCATTTTCCACTCGAAAAGAAAACAAAGATGATACGACATGTTGGATATAACTATGTTCAACCCAAAATCCTTACCTGGACGAGATGGATATTGGAACGGATTACTATAAAAACCTATGGGATTCAACTGATGTCCGATAGGAGGTGGAGTGGCTTGATTTGGTGGATGAGAAGCCCCACCAAATGCTGGACCATAAAGTCCATTTTGCGGATTAATTGGTCCAGTGATTGCTGCACGAGAAGTACCTCCAAACTGCTGAAGTGATACGCGTTGATGCGATGGTGAAATCGACGGATAAAAACTGGATGGCAACTGAAAGGACTGTTGTCCTTGCGCTGAGGGTGACTGTGGGAGGTTTGGATGGGGGAATAAATTGTGATGCTGTAAACCTCTTTGTCGAACAGTAGCATTTGAATGGTCAGTACTGGGACGCCCTCCTCCAATCACGCCTACATAGTTAGGAGCATTGGCATAATTTGAGACAGAATTTGAAGTGATGGGTGTCGGGAAATGACAAGGTGTATTGTTGTATCCACCCTGAGGAACAGGGTGAGGTAATAAACCTCCACCGTTTCCAGGAGCTGGTCCGATCGCTGGGGCGAATGGTTGTCCAGCGGCTTGAAGGTTAGAAGTAGCAGAAGGGTTTCCAAGAAGAGAATACGAATTTACAGTCGTCGGAAATCCGATTGCATGTCTTCCTGAATTCTGTGGGTAATTAGACTGATGAATGGCTGAATACAAGCCAACAGAAGGAGGAGGTGGAATACAACCAGCAATAGATGGAGGGAAATTGTATTCATTCTGAAATTAAAATAAAACACTACAAATAAAAATCAAATCATTAGCGCACTTATAGATCAGAATGCTTAGATAAGTTACATTATTGTACTAGTTTTGATTGAAAATTTAATAATATTCAGTCAGTCAGTCAGTAACAACGTAGAACATCGTACGTACGTACATCAGTTCGAGTTGCCACACGTTGGTTCAACTAAAAGGGATAAGAATGAAATTGCTTACAAGACTGAACGCATAAACAGCAGTTGTTCACTCAGGTGCTGACATAACCACAGGTAGAAGATAGCAATTTAGTGTGACAAAATGGATTTTGGTGTAAAACTGACAATAGATTATATCAGCACGAAACTTTGTTTATAAAATCATTTATGAATCATTAACATAAAGAAGGCTCAAAAGAGAAATAAACATACTTTTACGTCCGTGGGAAAACTCGAATACCCAGCAGTGAATGTGGATGGATCGATTTGATGTGGTACCTGTTGTCTGCATTTCCGAGTTTGACTCATTTGTGACTGAATCGGAATTGACAAGGAATGGTGAAAAGAACGAGAAGGTGCCGGCTGAATTGTAGTTGACTGTGGATGAACATATAATGAAGGCGCTGCAGATACAAAAGTCATTTGTTGAGACGGAACACATATGTTGTTTGATAGTTTTCCTAATTCTGCAGAGTTATTTCCATATGGACCACTGGAGTATATGTTTACTCTATCTGCGGGTGTCAATATTGAGTTTTGATAAGACTGTATGTGCTGTTGCCTAGGTGTGATAGACATAGTCGACTGCTTAGTCATACTATCCAATGATGGGACGGTATTATTGTGAGTTAAAACATTTGAAAGAATATTAGAACTCATTTGATTTTGAAAGTGTGGTTGATTAGAATTAGCATTATACGAACCTGTTATGCAATTAATATTCACATCCATACTTTGATCAGCTGTAGGCCAAACGTTGCCGGAAAACATGTTGCTTTCATGACGATTTATAGGAACATTAGATAAAGAGAATGGTGTATATAGAGCATTTGAGGAAGACCAAGACTGAAAAGAATTACTGGATAAAGTTGTTAAATCTGAGATAGGCGGTCTTAAAAGGGCATTAGAGCGTCCCATGTCACCACAACATTCGAAGTCAGATCTTTCTGTTTCTCCTATCAAATCTGCAGTGGAGATATTCTCAATAATATTATTATTAGATGGGCTAAGAAGATTCAAGTGCATAGAAGTCGAAACAAGAGGTGAGATGGAAGTAACCTGAAGAAGCTGTTGTTGTTGAGGTTTGACCTTACAAATGTTATTAGAAATTTGAGATGAAAATGTAGTTGAAGGACTAACAGTACATAGCGGACCAGCAGAAGGAACAACCGTACCCTGAACTGTACTACTAGCCAAGAGCAAAGTATTATTATTTGAATGATTTTTGTTAGCTTGAGGTATGCTATCACCAATCGACCATAACGACTGCATGGAAGCATAAGAGGAGTTCACCACTGGATCCGTGTTACTGGTTGTTGTAGCGACTGTGTTGTCTAATAACTTTTTATCTTCATTAGATTCCTGAGTAATTACGTGGTTTGAATGTTCTGATTGCCAGACTGAATTTGAATTGAGTAAAACTGATGATGTTTTTGTAGAGTCACCATGGTTTTCAGGTGGAGATTTCGCAAACTTTGTCCCAACAACTTTTGACCATGTACGAGTAGTTGAAAAAGAAATCTTCTGCAGCACAGATGATGTAGGTGTTGATGACAAACTGCTACTACAAGGAACTGGTTGGTTAGTTTGACCAGACAAAACAGAAGTTGTAACGGTGCATAGTGATGAAGTTGCGTCTAAACATAATGGTGGACCCATAAAACTTACTTTAGTTGGGAGAGACTTCTTTTTACCTGACAAACTTCTCAACAGCCCACTTGACTGACTTTTATGGTCACTTGTATGTACATAGTTTTGTGAAAGAGTGTTAGTTAAAGTTGAACCCTCCTTGGAGTATACTTGGCTTACATTACCAACATTTCTAGAGGAAGTATTTGACTTTCTTGTGTTCAAGACACCAGAAACTGAAACTTCTTGCTGCATTCGTCGACGTGCAAAATACTTGCTTGCTTTTGAGACAACTTTTGTAAACCCATCCCCATGTGGAGTATCTTCTTCAAAAATGTCTTGATTTAGCTCATCGAACTCTTTACCTGATTGCGAGAACTTATCGGAATCATCCTTGAAGACTGTTTCTTTTTTTCGCTCTGCACGACTAGTCCATGTAGACAAGGAATCCAAAGCATAAGAATTTTCGGGAAATGAGACATGAGGCTTAATAGACATTAAAGGCGGTATTGAGGATATATCATTTCTTTTGTGGTAAAAAGTGGTTCCATATCGAGAGGCACGTGTGGTACTACGGTAAGCGCTATGTTGGTTTGTGGAACTTCCACCTGATAATTGAGACTTTTCATTTTTCTGGACATTTCCACTAATAACTGATGGGGAAGAAGAGACTTTAGAACATTCTGTTTGTAAAGCAATCCCACCAGCAGCAGATCTTGGACTGGTACCTGGGGAAAAGTTAGTAAAGTAATACCAACGCTTAGAACAGTCTAGACTTGTCATAAATAATTATTGAACATGAAGGTAACAAATGAGTTAATTAAGGAAACTTTATATAGTAATAATACGACAAAATAATAAAGAATATTAATAACCCATGAATACTGATTTTCACAGGGAAAACTGTAAAAAATAATAAGAATTGTAAATAAGATTGCAAACATCCTAATCACATTACGATTTGACTCAATGTCAAACATACACCATCAAAACGACAGACATATCGACCTATTGTGATTAAGCAGTCAACAATGTGATTCTATCAGTTTGCATGCAAACTTTGATTACATGCAATTACTACTAGCGTCTGAAAGGTAAAACGACGCTACTAAACAAGATTTAAAGTGTCTAAGAAGAACGTAGTATATCATGCACACCTACCCCCTTCTGTGTCATCATTGTCATGATGACGATGATTAATAGTTGCCTCAGCAACATGACAGCTGGATGGATTGCCTCTTGTAACTGTGGAAGATGATTTTGAAGTCTTTACATCATTTTTTAGGTGGGAAGAAGTAGATATTTCGGAAAAATCTTTTCGTTTGTTTGCATCTGACAGCGGCTTTGACGAGTTCTTAATAGTTTCAGAGGAAAATGACCCTTCAGATGCTGTTTCCCATTCATCAACATCATTTGTATCGCTAGTATTCCCGGTTACCACTGTAAAAGATGAATATATCGAACACTTAGCCAATAACAGATTTACGATCTGACCGAGTGAAAACAAATTTTAAAGTCTAATGCTTAAGTGCTTCAAGATCTGACAAAAATTATCAATGATCGTTTCTCTGACTAAATTCGTCACACTATACGGATGTATTAGACTCAATTCTTCTGAAAAATAATACTACGAAATGACAGAACAGATAGTGACAAGACCTGTTATCGGCGCTTCAGCAGATCCCAGAATATGAAACGTTATAAACCATAGATCATATACATCTGAGTGTTGAAATGTTTTTGATAGTGCTGTGTTCTGTGAACTAGGTAATCCAATTGTATAGCTTTTATTGTATTTCTAAAGACAAAAAAGCGCCTACTGTATGTAAAACTGGATGAGTCTTAAAAACTTTAACTAACGGAATGAACAACAACCGAGTATAAACTATTGCAAAAAACCGTGAAATAAAGGTGTACTACGGAAAAAAGTGAAGGAAGTAACAACCATATTTGAATTCGATTGTTATTAAGCATACAATGAATAGACTAGATGTAAAGAAACACTGAAATGGTAACTGATACCTTGAACGCAGGCTTCAACAAAAATCATTCAGTGTTTTCATTGAACAAAATATCGTTTGTAAAAGAGTGACAGAAATGGTTTAAACTACTCTCAAACTAAGTGAAAATGGGTAAACATGTGAGAACTGTTCGAACTTCAATGCAATAACAATAACTTCCAACACAAATACACGAACCGTTACATCGCTACCTAAACTCACTGTAAAAATAACCAGCAGACATTTGACAAATACCAGTGGAGAACAAGAACAATAAATTTTATATGTTAATAAAACTTACCAACCGCTTGCCGCCGACGCATAAGAGACCGTGAGTTCACATTATTTTCATCAAGCGGATCGTTAGCAGTATTTGAAACAACTTCACTATTGTTGCTTTGCTTTCCTTGATCAACGAAATCGACAGCAGAATCAGTATGACCACCATTACCACTACATTGATTGCCACCACGAGAATTACTATTTCCACCAGTTCCAGTCTTAAAAATAATGGAAGCAGATACACCACTAGATGTTCCAGACCGGCCTACACCGCCAGCAGCAGCACCTCCATCGCCATCTTTTTCATCATTGTATCGATCCCGCATTTCTCGATAGCGACGAGTGGTATGAATAACAGAGCCGTTAAGACGTTTTGATTGATGATTTTGACCAGCACGACTACTTATGCGTTTGGATGTCCCTAAAACTTTGTGAGTGGCAAAACGATTAGTGCGCGTTTTAGAGTACTGGGAGTTCATAATAACTGAATCTGAAGCGGGGACACGAACGGTGGGAACTTCAGGATCATCTATACCTTCCGTCCGATTATTAGTACTATCCAGTGTCAGTTTAGTTACCTAGTTTAACAGCGAAATGTGGGGAAATGTTATTAAAATACATTGATAAATGTAGGGTGAAACATAAATTCAAATGGTATGAAGCACAATAACATTGTATTCCATATAATTATACAGTGACATATTATAAGCAGTTATTTTTGGGCTATGAATACACGGTTTATTCACTCAGTGACAAAATGCTTTGCAGCAAGTTACTTAAATGTTCTTGCTTTAAAGTACAGATCGCTTAGCGCGCTTTGAACGTTTTAATGTATTAAATATGTTATTGATTCGAAACACGAAATTGACTGATCTTAGTCCTAGATCAACTTACAGCACAAAACGATATAACATTCTGAAGGATCATAAGGTGTGAAGTGGTGACGTTTTAGAGGCGAGAGATTACATCACTATGTTAAGAGATACGTAGGTAACTTTGCTTACAAAAACGAAAAAATCTATATAAACACATGCTTGAAACCCAAGTAATTTTTTTCGGCTTCCAGACAGGATGTTATCATATATCGTCTGTTCTTCTATCCTAATTAATGATGTTATAAGACCAACATTTAGTGACTCATATCATACACTTTTATAACAGGCAGAAAATCAACTCATACGGTGTTAAGTTCGTTTGATGCTCAGTGAACTACTGACAAGTGGACTGAGCCATGTTGGTAGGTGCAGACTACGTGGTTGGGGTTTGCGATACAATAGCAACCAATGGTTAGAGACCTTGAACGGCATGGCTCAAAATCGTTTGCAATGACACAGGTGCATTCACTCTTTGTGTTCTCCCAAATTCTAAGCTTTCGACTTCTTCATATACCTCTTTTTTTTCTCTTGCCAAATTTATTTCACTGGATCATATTCCTTAACAAACATCGACAATTGTATCTCTGTGCTAATGTGGTATGGCAACTTGAACTGATGTACGTACGTACGAAATCCTACGTTGTTACTGACTGACAGTGAAATACAAATAGATTAAATTTATTAGAGTAGGAAACCTACAAGATTTATATTTTCTAATCCTTTACGACATCCAATCATGTTATTGTTTATGTTAATACTTTGTACATTAGCATGCCCATTTATTAGATGGCAATCTCGCCTTAATCTTAGTTTACTCGGGGAGGGTCAGCAATCCAGTGTAGCGAATAGCCGTCACTTAAGCTAAATCGTTTCTATCGACCAGCTGATTTTACAAATTCAAAATTCGTTCATTCAACAAGACGCCTACCTCACAACAGATCCTTAATACTTCTGGTTATTAACGACTACAGACTAACATTTGAACATTTGTGTATTCATGACAATTTTAGAATAAACTTACAAAGACTACGCTTTGAAAAAATTACCTGTTCAGTATCAATATGTGGCTGAGTGTTTAACTCAGACTTTGTGGTAGCGTTTGTTGGGTTTTTTCTGTATGTTTTATGGAAACGTCCACTGACAGCATAAACCTTCGCTTTACTATCAGGGTAATTAGTTGATCGACTGTGAGACTTATTTTCATCGTTGTCACTAGCAACATACTCATGAGAAAAATCAGTGGTACTTGAAAACTGTCCCTTATGACTGTAATACATCTTTTGTGGTCTCATCTGACGACCATTTGTAACGTAATATTGACTATCTAAATCCTTGTTCTGATCACGAGATGATTCATATTGTGCGTATGAACGAGTCATTCGACCACCAAAATATCCAGTAAAGCTGCCAGAATTAATACTTCGAGAGGCTTCTGTTTAATTAAATGAAAATTAAAGGCTACTAATGTCAGAACATTTAAACTGTTATTGTTGCAAAAGAACGTCGCACGCACAAAATAATGAATAATCTATAGTAAGAATGATATCAGCTTATAAATAAAGTAGCTAGATCGGAAAGCATTCACTAGTTCTAGGTACTGTCAAACTGCATATACATATTAAAAAAATAACAAAAACCTTGATTTCTAATGGCTCAGAAACGTTATAAATAACATTTCGATACATTAGCTGTGCAGTTAAGAAATAAAACGATGATGGAGATTGGAAATGTAATACCTTTATTACGATAGAAAAACATGAAATACACAGTACATACATACCTCTATATTAAAATTGAAAATAAACTGAGAAAAATGGACATGCTGAACTGAAATGCTTACACTGAGTGCGATTCTTCAACTATAAATATTTCTACAGTAATACTCACAGAAAACAGGACTGATTGGAATAGTAGCATGTTGAAACTAGCAATGTAGTGCGCATTTAAAGTTCGAGACGATTTAAACAAGATGATTGAACAGAAAATGAGTATACAGGGAATAACTGGACGTATATCAATAGGGTGTTTAAAATTTAAAATATAAATCTACATTTGCATTTGTCGGATTACACTTACATTATACGGGCCACATATAAGGAAAACTCACTTAACTTGTTTGGATCATTTGAAAATTTATCTATATTAGTCTAACTCTAAACACCACATCTTTGTAGTGAGACCTTCCCAAACTTTTTGCTCTACTTCACCATCACGAATTTCGCGGTTTGACTACGATTTCAAAACAACCATGATTACATAATTTATCTTTTTATGTTGACTCCCAAAAAGTATATCTTGATCATACACAAACATTTTTTTACATGTGTAGACCACAGATTCAGCTATTTTCCAGGAGCATGGAGCGAATTATTCAGACACTTACCACTGCCTTGGCCAAAGAGAGCGAATACATATCACGTGTTTTCACTATAGTGACATACTCAAACATGATCTATTTCAAAAGTGATTTTAGTTCAAGTAAATACAACTAAAGGTATGTTTAGGAAATATATAGTTTGCTTTTAAAAGGTACTTTATAAATAATGTCTGTAAATACATTTAACTAAACAAAGATACACAGTAAAAACAGTAAAAACGTTCAGAAGAGCTTACGACGCTCAGATGGTCTGTAAAGAATATCATCGTTACTATGATTCTTGCGCTGATCAATGCTCAATCCGACAGAATGACCTGTACGAACTCCTCTGGACCCAGAACCATAATGTTGACGCCAATAATAGTCTTGTTCCGAACCTTTTGAATAACGTTTCGAGTATGAAGAGAAATCATCTGTAGTATAACTCCTGCAATTTTATTCAAAAAAAAGTTTACATTTTATATTGAGTATTATGAAAATTTCTGTTGACAACAATTAGCTGTTTGCCGAAATAAGGGTTATAAAACTGATAATTGTACGCTAACATAGGAAGAAACTTAAAGGAATCTAACCACTAGATCATCTTAAGTGTTACACAAAATTAGCCATTCAGATAACAACGGGACCTTGTAGTAAAGTTTATAGAAAAAAGGCTATCAAGTCTGCTAAATACATTCTGGAACACACAAAACAAGTCGTCGTATAGCTAAAGCATTGAACGCTAATATTTATAAAGATAGAAAAAAAATATAATCCAGCAGAGTTAGATCAAAACTTAGTTAGAACTATTTCTCATGAACATTACACTCAAATCATTTTATCAAGAAAATTATGTAATTCAAGTTACCTGGAACTTGTAAAATGACTATTTGTCCCGACACGACCACGTCGACCTCGTCTGTTGTATGATGTACTGAGATTTTTATTTCTATCGTTATTATCAGACACTCCAGCTTGATTCGGATGTGAGAATTTACTTAGGTGCTGATTCCTTTTTTTCCCAGACTGGTTATGGAATCGGTTATAACTCTTGTCATCTTCAGTACCATCACCTTCTTGAACGTCACTAAGGATACCGCATCCATTACTCTCACTTTCGCTAGACGACACAGAAGATGAACTATTATTGTTCAGATCTGTACGCGTCCAACAACCATCGTCTGTTATATTTCGAACCTGCTTTCTGTATCTCATATGTTCGTCATCAGTCAATCCAGATTTGACCCGTGAATTCATATTATAAGCATCTATAACTGAATCATCAACGCTGCGTGACGGTTTCGAACGCCAGGATTTCGACGACTTTGAAACACTGTGTGAACGATGTGATACATCATAGTCATCTGCAGAATATTGTGGATCACATGGTTCGCGAAGATTCATAGATTCTAGAAATTTTTAAGAATGAAATAGTGCAAGTTATGAAAATGACAAAATATCTTTCAGTTTAAGAGACTTGAATTGAGGAAAAAATCTTTAACAGAAGTTGATGTTTTGTTCGTCAGAACAAGAAAGAATTTCCTACTGCAAGTTCGGTACATCGGTACTTTCTTTGTTTTTGCTGACGTATTGAGTTTTAGAATTATATAATATACACTACCCCGCAAATCTCTTCCTTTTCCCCTAATTATATCTCCTATGCTTAATTTTTTTACTATCACTGGTACTGTAACTACTTCAATCATTCAGAGATTTATCTTGATTAGTTCATTTCGCTCGGTTGATATTATCAATTTATTTAAATGTATAAATATTGGCACAGAGCGGTGACAAAATATATGTGCGTCACACAATAAGCAAATGAGAGTGCAAGAAGACAAAGAAGGGAAGATAAATACAACAAGCATAAAAACAACTGAAACAAAATAAGTAGTTGAGAATAAAAAACTATGGGAGAAGCAGTTAAGAAAAATACACCAAAAAAGATTCTTTCAGTTAAAGTTTCTCTCACTTTTGGTGTGGTGTATTAAATTTTCGTCAAGTTCTACTCTGTTTCTTACGAACAGGTGTTATTTGCATCAGACTTACAACTGAGTAACCATACTTCAATAGTTTTGTGGAGATCAGACCTGATTTTAGGTGATTCTTCTCATAGAAAGAATAGGCATTCGAATAGAGATGTAAGGGTTCTTGTTTAGATTCCTAAGAGTTGCTGGTGTATACTGATGAGTTTCATATATGGGCTTGACAGCGAACAATAGCTTTCCGGTTTTCAAAGGTACATATGTGAAGTCCTGACGAAAATCGCAACTGACCGATTTCCTAGAAGCGATGTAACATTAACTACTCAGTTTATAAAGATTTTCTTGTTTTGAAATAAGTTTTCATAAATTTGAGTTATGAAAATACCATTTGAACGGAAGTGAACATGTGTATGTCGATGTCCTATATTTGGGAATCTTATAAACCTAGGATTCTATGAGCGTCAAGACAGTTCTGCTGTACAGAGCTGAAACTTCGAGAACTACCACAAGCATCATCAAAGAAGTACAAGTAATTATAAACAGCTGTCTACTCAAGATATTCAATGTCCGTTGGTCGGATACCATCAGCAACAGTCTGCTGTGGGATTCAGCTTCTATCTGAATAAGAAGTTAGAAGCCGATGGAAGTGGATAGGATATACATGACGGAAATCATAGAACTGCATCACAAGACAAGCGCTAACTTGAAAACATGAATGAAAACAGAAAAAAGGGAGGCCAAAACACACTGCTGAGAATTGAAAATAGGCATCAAAAGAATGAATAACACTTACGAACACTGGAAAGGAGAGACCACGACAGTTACCTGGGGAATCCTAGTCGACGGCCCATGCTTTACTAAGAATTAATGTACATCCACTTTTCTATCACCTCACTGGTTAATTATCGACGAACTGGATAGGTCAATATTGGGTAAGACGGATTTTGCTAGGCAGCCCGTTTGAACCTATTATTTTTTACGTTTGACAGATTGATGTCTTGAATATAAGCTTAACTGTAACTAATTATTTTTGCGATCTAACTAAATACATTATTTATTTATATTTCCAAGTAGCTTAGACAATCTTCTGAACTAAATTAAATCTCCAGTGTGTTATTCAAGTGAATTAGACATTTCACCCTCTGACGATAATTAAAGTTATCACTGAGTCATTTTGTCCAATTTATTTTCACATAAATCACAGGAACAATCTGGTGAGAGATAATTCTTTTTCACAATTATTTTGCACAGACTATTTACATCCGTGAGTTGCGTACATGTGGAGATTTACTTTGAAAACTCCATTCCAATTCCACAACACCATTATTTCTGCTGGTATTCGATGCATAAAATAATGTCATAAATCTTTGATCTTACTGTTTCATATGGTTTTGAGTGATGAATATAAAATTAAGGATTATCGTATTAACTTGACTAGAATTAACATATTTGATATATCATTTAATAGTGCAATCGTCCAGCTTTGGTAGTTATGTTAAATAAGAAATTCTGTCACATCAATTTTTCTCTATTATTGAATGGGTTTTTTAATTGATACCTGGTGGTTTGAGTGAATGTCATATTTTTATCGTAGGTGAAGTTAGAATGTGGATTTAGTAAAACAGAAGTGTAGTTTTCAACTGTAACTCCGTTTTGACTTACCGGTTTATCGCACTATTAGCTCCACATGAGGTAATTGATTTATGATAAGGAAAGCTTACACGTCATTCAAGCATCAACAGATTTATAAAATTCATCTGCAAAACAAATTATTTCATAATCTTTTTTTATTTACATTCTGCAACGTGTATTGATATATTAACAACGGATACGATTATTCTTAATACATAATTCATTATAACCCTTAATTTTTCTTCAGGATCATTAAAGTGAACAGAATCAGTGAGTCTGGGATGTTGTGCAATTATACTTACAACCGAAAATGAGTTTTCATTATTAAGAACAAAACATTATATTTATATGGCTGAAGAGAGTTAGGTAACTTTTTAAAATTTAAAAGACAATGGTGCCAATATTTTCACGAAATACTTACTGAAGTCACTTGTCACAGCTTCGAAAAGATGGCTTTTAGTGGTTCCACGACCCTTAGCACTTCCTCTCTGAGGCTTGTATGACATCAAGCTCTTTCCACGACCCCGAGAACCACGGCTTACTGGATCCAGTAAGTGATCTTCCTTGTCCCAGAGATGAGCCAAGTGTTGAGATGATGCGCATGATACTTTAATATCCATTAAGCCAGGAACACGAGTGGTTCGTTGACTAGGAGAATTACTACTTGTTACAGTCGAGCTGGTAGTAACTACAGTAACATCCGATCTGCTGGATGATTGTGAAACCCTGTGAACTCGATGAGTTTTTTCGCATGATCCATCAGACTCTTTAACGTTTTGTGAACCGACAGTTTCGTCAGGATTACCTGAAACTGGGGTTGTAGATGCATACTGGTTTCGTAGACATGAATCCACAGTACTAGTAGAAGACTGATCATGTCGCAGCGTAGATATCGCGACCTGAGCATTCGATTCTGAAGAGATCGTATTCTTGGGTGAACTAATAGGAGGCCCTTGAGGCCAATTCATCTGTGACTGATTGAAAATCTCGAGGAAACGTTCAACAGAGAAGTCTGGATTTAAAAACAGACCTTGTGAATTCTGAGCAGATTTAGGTACTTGAGAATTACCCGCAGACATTTTAAGAGCATTCTGTAGTAACTGTGCCATAAGAGGCTGCTGAGAAAGCAATCGGACCATAGCGGCAGGCATTGAATTGTTAGAACCAAACTGAGCCTGCCACGTGCCAGCAGTTGCTGTGTTTGAACTAACAGGCATTGGCACCTGTGTCTGAGAAATAATTGAGGAAACACTAAGAGGCATTTCAATTCTACTTCTTTCTGGGACCCCACTATCTGCTCCACCTGTGTACGCTATGGCAGCAGCAGTCGCAGCGGCAATTGCGGCTGTTATATCTAGAGGTCCTGATGTTGGAAACGCAGGAAGCATATTATGAGGAGGAGCGCTAAGCATATGATTAACAGATGAATGGTCCCCCACTGGGAACAAGCAATTAGGACCAGCTTGACATGCCGTAGTCGTGAAAGGCGTAGGAACAGATGGAAGTGATCTGTTTTCTGACATGCTGGGCAAGAGACCCAGAGCAGACTTAGGTAACATGTTATCACTTTCAGCTGAACAGCTTTCAGAAAGCTTTTGTCGTGCTCTTGCCTGTTGAGCTCTTTCAACTGCGTTTTTAAATTCTTGGGTTCGTGCTTGCCTCTGAGCCTGTTGTAATTCGGCATCTACATCCGTTGCTGACCTTACAGAGTCAGTAATGCCACTTGCAATCGACACCGCCAAACGACTTTGAAGTGGATGTGTAGAGTAGAACGAATCTAAAAGAGAAGTTAGAAAACATAGTAGTGACTGGCTATCGAAATTTTTTGGATTCTTAATAATGTAATGTGACACATCTTGTATATGACTGGTAACCTATCTCTATCGAAATTTCAATTAATCCTAAGAATCTACATCGCTTCCCAAAAAATGTACCCCTTCAAAACCTCTCGAGGTTAGAGCAGACGTAGACGATAAATACAAATTTGGTTTGGTACATCCATATATTTAGGATTTTGCACCTGGAATGCTTAGTTGAATTTCTTCGAATCGGACTGCTGACGAGAGAATGCTCACTATGTAAAAATTCATTAGCGCATCGTTCCACACTTTTACTTACCCCAGATAAACATTAAGTATTGAAAACAAGGAATTTCAAAATTGTATCTTTCGAAAATTAAGGAAAAAAAGTTTAAAGGATGTGCGTTTTCTAACAAAGATAACCAGTTACGTTTGACCGATTACGAGTATATTCGTCAATCGTTTCCAAAGGTCCAATTAAATGAAAAAATATTACATTTCACTAGACCGAGAAGCGATGTAGACGTCGTAAACAAGTTTATCGAATCTTTATGAACTAAACAGCAATAAAAAAACTAATCAACTTATTAACCAGGTACTTGCGAATGACCCACACTCAGTAAGGACTGATAGCATTACTCAGTCACCTGAAACAGCAAGCAGAGTAGGATTCGAACCTGGGACTTGATGGTTATCAGTCGAATATTTTAGCCACTCAGCCACAGCTCCCGAACTATACAGCAACGAAGACCAGTTTAGCAGAGTGTAGTAATTTCCCAGTAAGCCTTTTTATCAACGACAACCAAGAAAAAACGCATTAGCTTCAACAAGATATTCAGAATGAATCAGGTGGTACTCAAAGTATATGGTTGTAAATTACTAAAGAAAAATGAAATATTTAGTAGAACTCAGGACAAGAGGGTCGTAAATTGTTTTTATTTGAAGGTTTATAAACCAGTGCCAAAGTACCTAGTTAAGCATAGATAAATAAACTACGTTAGTGTTTTCTGAGTTTGATGTCAAAACTAGAATGTCGTGTTGCTGATACAAGAAAATTTAAACATACCTATAACGCCTGGAGATGTAACATGGTTCATAAACTGTCCACTTGGTAATGAACGGTTGGCATCAGAAGTAATCCCACAAGTATTTATCGACGCAATGCTGTAAGGAAGATTAATTGGTGGAGGTCCAGAGTGGCTAACTGAACAGTTTCGAGTGTATGAAACATCCGCAGCGGGCCAAGCGTTTGATGTCATTAAATTAGAGCCGTACATATTTTGAGATACCGTCGATTGTGACTGGATGACGCAAGCTCCTTGTAAATTAGTCGACGGGTTGACAAAGGGTTTCATAGGCATAGCATGCAAACTGGTCTTAACAGTATTAGGAGGTGGGATCGAAAACTGTGCAGGTTGTTCTGATATGTTTGTCGTTGTAGTTGATTGGATGGATTTTACTTCATACTCTTCATCATCACTAAAAATTATGCGTTCATCGAAGTCAGGTTCATCTTGGCCAATAGCAACCCAGCCAGAAGGCTCCCCAACTATTTCGCGAGCGCCCCCATCAACCTTGGCAGGAATTTCAGATTTAGATGTCGTAGTTGTAGTACTAGAAGTGGTTACAATCTAGAACGATAAAAACAGCAGTATGTGCAAAACTAGTGACTTGCATGCGGTCAGTTTAATTAATAGATACGCGTTTTCTATAACAATTACGACCAATTATCCAAGGCTCAACAGACTACTGTTTTGGTTCACATTCGTTAAAATGTTCATCATGTTGGGTATTTGAATTTTAAACACTATTAGGAATGGTCCCATGAGTCTGATTAGCAAGTTATTTAGTGCATATTGATTTAGAAATATAGAAACACTCTATGAATGGTATTCCTATATAATCAGCGTCACAATTAACAAGATCCTCAGTGAAAATTTTATCGAAATTTGCCTTCAGATGAAAATGAAGAAAACATGTTTTGTATATTGGACTGAAAAATAAAATCTGAAACTACAGCTTACCGGAGTTGGTCTCTGGAAGAATGGTTTGTTAGCTGCCAATCCTCCGCTAGATCCTGGCTTATCACTCGGCGGTTTCAGCGGTTGACTGGATACTTTATCTTTTACTGCATCTTGAGTTTTGTCCGTCTTAACAGAGCCGTTCACACCGACTGAAGTATCTGCCATAAGTAAATGTGATATATTATTACTCACTAGCTAACATAAAAACTAAAAGCAAGAAACCTCAGTCGTTTGGAACAACTAAGATATTTGATTCATAAATTTATGTAATATCTACTTTATTATACTAGTAAAGTCTGTGGGTCACAAAATCTTTCACAAAGTGGGAAACAATAAGAACATGTGACAACCAAGGTTGACAAGCATGAGATTAGTTGCTATTTGAAGAATGCTGTTACCCATGATAAGTGAAAATTTTGTTTGAATGAATGATTCTATAAAAAGGTTTTCTTAGAGGCATACTTTATGCTTGTGTATATTCTTTGCTGTGAAGATAAAGCTATCCATTGATTAATACATCACGGCAAACATTTTCACTTCAACAATCAGTTCGGTCAACCAAGTGAATGAGAAGGTTTGTAGATGAACCTTGACGACTTTGGCTTACACTCACGAAAATTAAATGTAAATTACCAATCACATTAAAGTGCATCGGGGACACCTTTCATCGAGAAATAACATGACTGTTTTACGTAGTAGGTGATGTGAAACTGTTACCAAGTTATAGAGCTTGATTAAACTATTTTGCTTCTATATATGGTAATCAAGATGGGTAGATTTAATGTCCGGAACTCTATCCAGGTTTGCATCGTGCGAGACATGCTAAAAACCAACATTAAACATCATATCCTGATGTTAATGAAATGATTGGCAACTATCGGTCTGGAAATTTACGTGATATGCTTGTTCTGGGACTCCATAGTGTAGTAACTTGAGTTTGGTGCTAAAGCTGAACCCGACTGAAACCCGGTTAACACTCGAATGTATAAAATAACTTATTTCTGACTAATTATTTCCATTCGTTAAACTCCAATATCCACAGGACTGGTTCCAAAGCGAGAAATGTGTTACCTTGGTTGAAAGCATGTTAATCAAGGGAAGGAAACGAAAATAACTGCACGGAGAATTTTTACAGAACATATTTAGAGACCGTGAAACCTCGGTTAGGATGCGTATCCGAGATTAAAACAGAAATAACGATCAAGGAGCCTTAGATTAGGTCGTGTTTCAAGTGGACTACGCAAGTGTGCATTTTCTTCTCTTGTTTCTTTAGAATACCAGTTAACAAATTATTTACAGGTAACACCAAGTCGAATCCCTTGTTTCCATTTCGTAGTATCCAAACTATAAAGCATATTAAAACGCCAATAAAAGTGAAACAATTTTGCTGTATAGATATGGTAATCTTGAGAAATTCGTTAGGCAAATTTGATCATACTCACCTTTCAGTGTTGATACACCCGTTACCCCCATATCTGAGTTACCATAAACGAACTTTGTATATGCTGGTTCGAGAGAATTTCCGACTGTTTCACTATAAAGCGCACCATTCACGGAGGGTAAGGTAGAAACAATTGGAAGGCTATCAGTTGCCGCGGATGATACAGGTGGCTGGTCAGCACTGGAAGTCGAGGGAGCGCCCCACCCACCCCCACCCGCGGGAACAAGAGAAACTCGACTGTCCAGACCGCCTGTTTCAGCCTTGATACTGGGGACCCAAGCTGGTGGGGGTAATCGGCGCGTTCCTTGCAACTTTCCGACAACTTGCATCCCATATTGTCGCACAGCTAAGTAAATTGAAAAAACAAATATTTGTTTACACAAATAAGCTGTTGTCTGAACTTGACATGTTTGACTGAAATAAACAAGATTCCTACACACGCTTGATATTAAACGACAGTGAGCAAACATATTGCTATACTAAGGTAGATTGACAAAGTGCAGATATCAAAGGGTATTCGTCTTATTATCGTGATTTGATTCAGGTCATGCTAAGTATGAGTCCCAGCAACCGAATCTTATAATCCTAATCACACTACTCGTGGTTTCCATAAACTGGTATGACAACCCAACTGTCACTAAAACTAATCCTGCTTTACGCATCGCCACAAATTGGTGCAGTAAACAACACTTGCTCCGATCCTCCTCTCACCACTAACGGACATTCCAAGGAGAAAACATTAAACGTCAACTCAATGGTGTTACAAAAGAGCAATGTTTAAGAAACAAAAGGTAATATTCGTATTTAGGACCTTTTTGAAACTCGGGAAGAGTCATTTTAAAGCTGTTAAATCAACTGGTCTTTCACGTTGTTAGCACAACCACACACTAATAAAGGTAAAATGTTTGACACAATTTTGTAGTAAGAACAAGTAAGCATTTACGACTCAAAGTGCGGATATATGCATTAACCTTCAATCGTCATTTCATCCTATGAAAGCTGCAAAAGGCTGGCTTCTGTTGGTCCTTCACGACTCCTTTGTTGGGGTGGGGTACGAGAGATGGTTCAACACTGGCTAGAGATGTTATCAGATATAGCTCAGAATAGAGGCCAGTGGCGATCCTGCTGTAACTTCATACTTTCTTCATAAAAAGTGGTTCTATCTTCCTTAACTGAAAGAATTCTTCTGATTGCACCTTTCCGTCCCCCCCCCATTATTATTATTACTACACTACCTTACGCTAATCTTTTCTTTTTTTTTATACGCACCTTACCTTCTTTTTTCTCTTCCCATTCTTGTTTTGTGTGGTGCATATATATCTGGTTCCCCCTTGTACCAATATATTCATGTCTTTAAATAAATAAATAAATAACCTTCAATTAACACTATACGTGGATTTGGGACGACGGAAGTTCACAAAAGAGTGGATTAAAATTCGGAACTATTCTAACACTCGAAATAATGATGAATTTTGGAGGTTTGTTGGTCATTCGACTTGAACTAGGTACTGAGACCTTTTCTAACATACCTGGAGTAATGTCAGAAAGTGATTCAGATTCTCCTAATGTAGACAAGCAGACTGCAATGCGGTCGGGTACTAAAAAGCTTGTACATCTGATGCAACGAAGCCCCAGTATACTAACATCCCAAGAACGGAGGATAACCCGCAAAAAGTAATATACCATAAAGCTGTTTTAACTGGAAGTAGGTAGATATAAGTCTTGCTTGGTTGGCACAGAAGTTGCGTAACGCTCCCTAACCAGCATATTAAATTCTGAAGGCTTACTTCCTTTATGTCCGACAATCACTAAATACTCACTAACACATGGACGTGTTAACCCGATTACAACGCAGAAACTGAAGGCGGTAGATGCATTAAAATCCACAGTAAGAGCAGCATTTGAGGCAATAATTTGGGTTAATCTCATCTAAAAGACCAGAATACGACTAAACCCAATAAAGTTAGAATCACTCTCAAAACACACAGTGAAGTCAGAAATGCCTTACACTCAGTCAAGGTAGTCCGTGTTACTAAGGCTACAGAAATCGATAGAGAAAAGGCCAAGTTATTTTGATGATCTAATGACATTGAAACTTGTAACTGGCACCAAAAAAACACAAAAGCGTTCCTGTACGAACATAGCACGCCTTATTCGCAAGAAAAAAGCTAAACAAAAAGGTCTACCCGATTAGAGTAGAAAACCCTAAGCAATTCCGTATGTAATAGTCAGACATATGACAAGTGCCAGTAGGATATATAAAATCTTACTTGGTTTATGTTGAGGTTCTGTAGTATTTCCCTTGTAAACATGATTAATATTTGACTGAGCAAACTTCACTTTTGTCTTTTCAGACTTGACTTTTGAACTCATTCTGTGATGCCAGCATTGGCTTCTGGAACCAGCTGGTTTTATGACACGAGTTTAAAGAAGGACCGCTGAAAGTGTATGAAACAAAAAACAATTAAAATCTGGTACAATTGCAGATCAGGAGAAAGCGAGTAGCACAAATATTAGGGAACGACATGCAACATACATCAAAAGCCGCCCTAACAACAATGGTGAACGAAAGCTTAGCTCTTAAAAACAAACAAATTCCAATACTAAGCGCCAATGGTCAACATGTTCAGTTTTCAGTATTAAGAGGAGGAAATCATTCAAAGTATGTTAATTCCAGCACTTCGTCAAACCTGATGGATGCGAATTCGCCTTGCCTAAAAAGTGATACTTGGGAACACTCTTTAGCAAAGGAAACCCAAACCAATTCTATCGGCGCGCTTTTTGAACAGGAAGATTAGTTCAAACGTGATTGGCATTTCTCAAACTTTTGCTGTGTTCTTATGCAAAAAAAGTACCATTACTGATCTAAGGAATCTATTCTGAGCTATACATTCGGTAAATTACTTTTCTTTTTGAGTCTTACCCAACTTAATGATGAACTGCGGTTTTTTTCCTCAGTTTACTAATAGTTTTTTCTTCAGTTTTTCACGTAAAGGCTAGTTTCAGTTTATCCTAACACGTCTTTGTCCATTTTCGCCCTTTTTTAGTGTACTGTTTTTTTAAGGTCTTAAGCTTTTGCTAGCATCCATAAAACAGTTTATGTCAATATAGTCATGAAAAATCCATGCAAACGACCTGGATGCCGTTTTGCCGTTACATCTGACATGCAGTGTGACATCTGCAAAGGTTGGTTTAATGAAGCGTGCACAGATCTCACAGCAACTGCTTACAATAGACCCAGTAAGTCGGACCATAGGTGAATATGTGTCATATGCAACACGGATGCTGAAGTTTTGCTGAATAAGATCATTGTCCTATTGACAGGTCTGCGGATTAAGTTGTCAGCAAACTCGGGAAAAGACAGTCACAAAACGGGTAGACAAACAAGGACGCTCAATGAAAGCAAGAAGAGAGGTCTTGACAGCGCTACTATCGATGGAGCATGCATTAGCACTAGTGATGACATGCTGAAACTCAGCATCACGACGTCGACGGTAATAGGCTCCCTCAGCAGACTTGGGTCTGCCAGCGAAGAATCCCTGAATGCAACAGTGGTTCCAGAACCTCTTTGGGTGATTGGACCCCCGTTAACGGAGTTAAAAAACATCAGGCGTCACCGTCCAAGAAGCTGAACTTCCCATGTATTGTAGGGAAATCAACTAATGATTTGGCCTCACAGTTTACCCTTAATAATGTCCGTCCGGTCATCAAGGAGCCTAGAAATCGGAAATGCGCTTCGACCTCTAGGTAACAAGAACCTTAACCTGAATACTATAGAAACTCATATGTAACTGAGTTTGTTCTCATTTAATTCAGTTAAACCCTTTTATTAACTTATTTAGCAGACAATGTTATCCGTACAATAACAACATCTCTCTGCCTTTCGATTTCAAACACCGTTGAGGATTATATGATAACGGTTACGGAGTGATTGGGTAACGAAGCACAGCCATCACAATGCACCCATAAACCCGGGAAAACAACAACGGTTCGTGACGATTCTCTCATAATCATGGACCTTAAAGACAACTCTGACTTCCCCTCAGTTCGCACGACAAACATGACGGGATGCTCTGAAGAAAGTTAAATATTAAGCTCGAACTTTCCAGAATAAGGCCTTTGATGGTCACACGGCTCACTCGCGGAAATGACTCTAAACATCGAAATCACCCGAGCCAACTTCGTGTAACACTAATTAGACCGACGTAGAGGATATCCTGACGGCTAGTCGCCTACTGAAATATGATGGGGACGTAAGAATACTTCCTGACATACTGTATTCTGATCGCAGTCTCAACCGGAACATCCCTAACGAATCCCGCGAGAAATTTTTCCGTGGAATAAATATCATTGTCCAGGGTTCGATATTAGGATCTCCTCTTTTCTTGATTTATATAAGCGATCTTAAACAACAGGTATCGTCTGACTTATTACTTTATGCTGATGATGGGAAACTTTGAAGATAGATACGCTTACTTACTCCCGTATGTTACTCCTAATGGAGCATAGGCCGCAGATCAGCATTATCTAACCCACTCTGTCCTGGGACTTCTTTCCTGGTTCCATCCAATTCTTGTTCATTTTTCCCATGTCTATCTCCATTTCCAGGCGTAATGTGTTCTTTGGTCTTCCTTTTTTCCTTTGGCCTTGAGGATTCCATGTGAGGGCTCGCTAATAAACGCTAACCAAAAAGAATTATCATTCGATAGATACGCAACCAAGAGTATATATTAGCACTTCAAGAGGATCTGACTTGACTTCAAATTTGGATAGATGATAACGGATTTACCATTAACACTTCAAAGTGTAAAGTAGTCCATCTGCGACATGTCGCAGACTACAGTTACAACTTAGGCAACTCCCTTCTAGAAGTATCCCAAGTTGAAAAAAGATTTGGGAGTGCTGATACCCTACGATTTGAAGTCTTACGCTGACTGTAGCAAAAATGCCTTTCGAGCAAACCTTGCACTGGTAACACTGAAGCGCATTTTCGGTCCCAGAACTGGTTGCGTGGCTCGCCGTTGGATACGTTCTAGAGTGTCCTTACCCTTTTGGAGTGAGGGAGGAAATACTATGTTTTCGTACTCTAAATGGGGACGAATGAGACTGTTGAAGATTATGTGGAATGTTCTTCCGTCAAACTGGTCAAGATTTTTAAGACATGAAGTGAGCCAGTAAATTAAAGGTGATTTGATACTCAATCGTTTGAGCTTATTGATTAGACATATATGTTTGACCCTATCAAGAGCTTTTGAGAAATCAAGGTAAATGACGTCAACCTTCTCCCTGCGACCAAGGATAGTTGTTCATCTGTCTGCCGCAGTTATCAGGTTGGTTACATAAGAATGACCTTTCTTGAAACGTGCTGTTGGGATGAGAAGAAATTTAAGGGCAATAAATAGTTGTGTTTACCGTCTCATATTAGGAACTTCATAATTTTTAAGGTATAGAGATAGAAGCCACCGGTTTTTAGCTTGAAGTTTCGCTGTGCTAACCTCCTTTAAAGATAGGTGTTACGTGAGCAGCTTCCAAATTTTCGGTAGTTTGCCTCGGTTTAGCGAGTGTGAGAACATCACTTTAAGCGGTGTTGCCAGGATTGAAGCTGCTTCCCTCAGTATAGCAGAATGAACCATACCCGGCCCAGAGGCTGCGTACCGAAAAAAGGTTTTTGGATTGGAGACATATTTATCGATAAGCTTTATCTGATACTGAAGCCTTTCTTTTCTTATTGCCTTTCTGTATATGTCCCTCACACGTTTATGTTACCCGTACACGCCGTTGTTTTCAGTTCGCTTGTGTTCTGCCCAACAGTGCCTGTTGCGGCTTAGTGAACAAAGAGTGCGGTTCTTGATGACTGTAGGTTGCTTGTAGATTTCTGGGAATAATTTGTAGCACATAAGATCATGTGCAGTAAGAAATCGCAATGAGAATCCATATCAAGTTGAGGATGAGCTTCCCAATCCAGCTATTGTTGACTGTCCTGTAAAGCTGACACATCGAACCATTTGAAATTCCAACTCTTTTAGTTGATAGGATGTTTTAGTTCAGTTTTGCTTATATTATTGAACGCTATGACGGTATGATAACTTTTCCACAAAGAAACCAAGATTTCAAGATTATCAATTAGGACTTCTTTGTTTTTAAACACTCAGTCTGAGCGTGGAATCGTCTGACAATTTCTCCAGTGAGTTGCCAACTTCAGATTTTCGAATAATCCCAGATCTTCAGCAGAGTTTACACCTTCAATGTACGAAAGTTCCGCGAAATTGACTTTAGGAAGATCAAAGTCCCCTAGAATCAGGATAAGAGTGAATTTGAGACCAGTAGAGCGCGGTATTTCCTCCAGTATATGATTGTCGTACTCGGTGTTAGCAGTAAGCTTCCTGTAGATGACCCCAACCAGACACCTCAAGGCGGTAGACAATCTCACTGAGCACCATGCGAATTCATCAAGGTTGATGAACTCTTGGTTGTGCAATTAATGTACTTCCAAGCAAGATCGCAAGTATAAGGCTAATCAACCCCTAATTCCTGTTTTTCTGTCTTTAGGAAACAAAGACATCCAGGGTATTGCTAGCTTCTGATCCGTAAACTGAGAAGATATCCAAGTCTCAGATATTCCTATCAGATGAGAATTATTAGCATTGCTAAGATCACTTAGCTTGTAGAATTATGATCTACTACGATATTAGTACTGCTCTAATAATAGACCTAATCCTAAATTTGTAGATTCGTCATGATATAACTGCCTAATCTATAAGATCTTACGTGGAAGTCACACCATCGACTACGCCAACTCACTGTATCGTATCAATTACCAATACATGATGAAGAACAAGGTTAGTTTAGAGAAGGAACAATATATTTAATATGAATAGAGACCACGCCTGCATGGCCGAGCCATGCCACTCGATCAACTCCAGTCCATTCAATTCATTGTTCGCGCCTTCTCCATTTTTAGGTATTTCTCCGCGTTAAATATTGAATATCTATTTTCTGAGTAGTCTCGTGTTCACAGCTTTGTGGATTGTGTGGCTATTGTCCAATGCCACTACACTACTCTCCCACCAGAATCAACGTGATGTTGGTTCGATACCAAATTGGATGGGATCGTCGTGCGCCGAAGGTTACGAAGACTAGGAAGAATCTCCGGGTAATGATAAGCTGAAAGATAAATCAAAAAGAAGGCGGCAGCATCTGGTCGGGAAATACATGTAATAATTTTTTTTTAAAAAAATCTGCCTTCATGCTTAACACACTTAAAATGACAATTTGGGTGAAGATTAGTTGAGCTATAAAAAAAATGGGATTACAGTAATAATAATAAAACAATGCGTGTTAATAGCCGTTGGTTAATAACTTGACGTATAGGTAGTAAGTATTTTGTGTTTAGAAATATTAAAATAATGAATATTGTAGAAATGTTAATATTGGTATTAGTTTTGGTTTAAATTATGAAACCAATTAACAATTATGCCGGTAACCCGTCCATATGTGATTTCCCATTGCATCTGTATTAGTAGGCTAACTGGGAGAACAAAAGTATTACCATGGAAAAGAATTCCAA